TTGCTTGTGAACAGCCCAGGGGCCTTACTAAACCACTTGACGCCTTCTTCATGTGCCCTTCTTTTGTAAACCAATAGACCATCACCGTAGATGGGGAAGGAATGAATATTATGGAACGCCATCAATCCACCCTCTATTCTTGTACATGCCTATACGCTTTAATGTTTTACGAATTATAAATCCAGAATAGCTTTTATATTTCTCAAGTAAAGGGCAACAAGCATCATCACAAACTTTAAAAGAGGCTTACCCTCACTAGGGAAATGCAATCCTGAGAGTGAGCAAATGTATCAAGGAACCTGGAACTTAGTCAACAATTTACTCAGTTGAACAGTTCAGCTCGTAGAGGCTTATACCTGATAGGCATCACGAAATTCGTATCTTTTCCAGCATGAGACAAGAATTTCAGAAGGCATTTGTAGAAGACTATTCTCCGTTGAGTTGCCACCAATTCTTCTTCCCCGGAAACTGCTCCGCAAACCCAGTGCAGTTGAGCAAAGGGTAATCTACACAGGTCAACAGGAATCATGATTTTGCTTTAATAAAATCATTAGTATATTAAGTTTGTCGAACTAACCAAACGACTATCATCGTCCGGGTGATGATAGAACACATTTATTCGCGTAATTTGCAGATTTAGCGCCTAAACGCGTCGTCGAAACCATTATTTTTTCACAATAGAAAGGCAAGCAAAACGTTTACGACTAACGGAGGCCAATAAAAAAAAACAGAAGAACACATAGTGATGTATAGACTCTAGAGTTCTGAGGTTCTAAAAGGTTGAAGAAGGAAAAGGATGCAGACAGAACCTCATTCGTTGTCGGCCTGCCAACTTTATCGAAATCCTCTCTGAGCTGGCGAGCTACAATGATGCGAGCTCGATGAGCACGCCATGACCTCTGTACAACTACGGCTGCGTTCTTCTGCTTCTGATCTGCAATAATAATGGCCTTTCTTTCGAGCAGCTCGCTACACAGTGCGCTCTTCTAAGGAAGCTTGAACGTTTATGCTTGATCAGACATTTCCGTTACGAGGAATTCATTGGTGCACTATCGAAAAAGACTATCATTATGAACGCTCCAACTATTTCATTGACAGTTAACAGTTATCTCGATTTTTCCAACAGCTTAAGTCCTTTCACCACTGATCAAATTAAAACCGTAATGATAAGCACATACCAACTGCTCTTGCTCTCCTCTGCGCTTCGAGTTCGCGTAAAAATTTTTCCCGATCATTCTAAAAACAGGTTAGTGATTCAGGAAGTAGAAAAGACTATTAAATTGACAAAACTCACGAAAGTGTTCAACACCGCTTCCTGTTTTTTGTTCCGCTTTATCGACCCGTCGAAATCAACAAGATTCAGGAACGACATCTGGAACGTGCTCATGGTGATAGGGAATTTTATTAAACATGGGTAAGAAACTACTCTTTCGGGTAGGTGACAAGATAATCGCGGCTAGCCGCGCTAGTGGACATCGCGCCCACAAACGACCTCGCTTCGGTCCTACATGGCGACAACAGGCATGAGTAACCAAAAGTAGCCGAAAATGTGTATGATTCTCAATCTATATGGAAGCTGGTGCTCCTACCGAGAAGCCATAGCGAATGAGAAAAACGCCGCACCATCTGCATCATTTTCCTGACAATCGGGAGGAAATTCCAAGACCAGTCATGGGTGGTGATTTCCACGCTGTTACTATTCACACACAGAATATCCAACTAAAGTTGGGTCAGATTTTCAAATTTGCACAGTAACTTGTTCTCAGGAGCAATGTGGTCTGCTGAAGATGAATATTTTTCTTCTTCAACGAAACCCATGCGACATGTGCTAAGAGGAGGTGAGCACAAGCACCTTCACCAAATGAGAGCTTCACATGTTTAAAGACTGCTCCCGCGATAAAAGTGTCATGTATAGTTGCGTTTCAATTATGAAACATTAGCTGATAAGTAATTCTCCAAAGAAGGAAAAGCTGCGGTCTCTGTGCAACCCCTGGCACACAAATCCATTTATCACATCTACCAGTGGTGATATCACCCAATACAAAAAAAAGAATGTGAAAAAAAACACGGAAGAAAAACTCTTGAAAAGGAAAAGAAACTTTCAAAAACTCGGCGTCCGAATTTAGGGTTACGGTAGCGTGCATCTTGTAGTGTAGTGCGTCGAGCTTTTGCACCACGAAAATTGGGTCGCTCGTGATTTTTACGCGTTTTACCTTGCGAGATTTGTTGTAGTTGACTGTATAGGCTTCCAATGAATAAATTTATAAAGGAGAGCAGAATCATTCATGCGGCACGAGCGCGGTCAGCAAAAATGACATGCAATTCCGATTAATGCCCGCCGCCCCAACAAAGAACAACTGAGCGGCCCTCCGTCAGAGGGCATCTAGCAAGTGGGCGGTCCAACTGGGCGGGCGTTAGAACTAGAACTTTCAGCGGCTGTAGCTCGCTCCTCGCTCGCTGTGGAGTCGCGAGAGTGGGACAGTCTCTAGCTTGGGGGCTGTACTACTTGCACAAGGAAGGACGACATGTACTACTTGAACGTTCGTTGGGCTGTGTTTTTGAAGACGCAAGAGAGGGACACGCAGAGCGAGCAAAATCGCAACACCCTTCCATGTGATGGCATGCTAAACAACACGGGGAGAAACTCTCCATTCGGATGACCGTTATAAATGTTTACAGAAGATTTAAGTTCATGTTCTCTGGAGCGTACGAAGATAAGAGGTTTCCGACTTGATTTTTTATTATTCTATCTTCTTAGGAGTCAGCAGTCAGCTTAGTTTATTGGTCGAACTTCCCTCCCCGCCAAGGGGGAGCAGCGCGATTGCCTTTCACATTACACAATAATTGTTCCTAGAGGCCTACAATGAAGAGGCTTCGTTCTGTGCACATTTCGTCCCCAACAATGAGCGAGCATTTGTGGAAATACTTCACGAGAGCACACTCTTGTACAACGAAAACCAACTCCGAGTCATATCTTTATTCGCTCTGAGGCAGAAGCAACAAGTAACAATATACCAATTCAAATTATCACTTCCTAACACATCCGGACACTTATTTCTAATCGTCCTCACTTTCCTCTTCACTATCTTCTTGTAACCAGTCCACGATAGGCTTCATTATTTGTTTCAATTCTGAGCCCTAGAAATTCAAAAATGTGGTAATCAGCTCTGGAGTACCGAAATTAAGAATGCGAAAAACACAACACCTCATCCAGCGTATCCACCCAGTGCAGAATGGCCTCTTCTTCTAGAATGTCCATTTCGTTGTAAAGAAAGTGTACAAGTCTCGCCACTAGTTTGCCGAATTCTACAGGACTTTCTTTGAAGCGATCCTTGAAATAAAAATATGGAAACAATTTAGTTGTCCTATAATATAACTTTAAAAGAGTTTATTTAGCTAAGTGTTCGTAAATATCAAGGAGGAAGTTATCCAAACTGATCAATCAATTTTTCCCTCCCCCTGACTCGCTCTACTTCTATTCAAAACTCTAGCGGCCTTCTGAACGCGATCTTGTCTATACGGTGACCTGAGAGCACCATCCGGTGGACTAAACAGTGTCCTACTCTCCGAAACAAGTCTGGTACCAAGTGACGTATCTGGATAAATGGAGTGCGTTCATATTTGCGTCAGCGTTTCGTGCGACTAGGAAAGTACAGACGTCGATCTACCGTCAGAGCACCCGCCAGCGTTCTGAGCATTTGGACACTTCCGAGCTTTTCGCGGAGAGTCGCTCGCAGGGTACAGCATGGGGATGTGCGAAATGTCGGTGTGAGTACGACCCCCCCCCCCCCCCTTCGAATGGGGTCCAGGCACGACCCCCCCCCCCCTCCGCCTCCACGGCTTCTTCGCCGACGGACGAGCGATGAGTACATAGTCGGCGAAAAAGGAAAAAGTTGTCGAGCGGCACAAAATGCATATAGTGCATATAAAAAAATTAATACGACCCCCCTTTTCCACAAGAAAAAATCAACTATCAAAATAAATTTGTCTTCCAAATACGACCCCCCTCCCCAGAGCAAAAGTACGACCCCCCATGGGTTTGACACAACGATGCTGTACCCTGGTCGCTCGACACGCTGGAGTACGCTCAGAGTCGACATCTTTGCAATTCCTAGTTGCTCGAAACGCTGCCGACGATCGAAACGCTCGAATCGTTGACGTTGTATGAATGCAGCTCTAAAATAGTCGATCCGCACTGAGGCACACGCAGTGCTTATTAAGCTGTGTCGGCGCGCTCATACACTAAGGTAATGCTGCATTTGGATCATCCCAAGCAAACCACTTGGAAATCTCTATCTCTCTAAGAAATCAGAATCGTTATATTTCATACCTCAACTGCTAGTAGGAGCTGAATTTGACTCTTCGTTGGTTTGTAGTAGTTCGAAAACAGAAGCGTCCATTTTCGACAAAGCTGAAACGTTGCTTTGGACATCAGCGACGATACTATTCACATTACATCATGGAATCGAACCTCTTTCAGTCCTGCCAAAGTTTCATTTCCGGGTAAACCTAAGAACGCGGAGAAAACGTATTTCGCCACATCCTCCATCGATATATTGTACGCGAGTTTAGACGAATTGATTTCAAGGATCAAGTTATGCATCTGAAACTAAGCCTCTCGAAAGGGTCCTGCTTTTCATAAGCTATTCACTAGTGAGTGTAACGACCGTCGCCGGACATATCGCTTTTACAGTCGTTATCAGTGGATACTTCCAACAAAATTTGATGCTTATTTCTTCTTAGGCTATTGAAAAGACATACTTGTTGATTGCTGAATGTGAAACCTTGAATCCTCTCCATACTCTCCACAACTTCTTCATAAAATTGTCCTGTAGCATCCAATTCGATCGATTCTGCTCCCTCACTATCAGATCCGACTATCGATTCCTGGAAATCAGTTCATTTGGAAGTCTCTCGAATGCGAAAATAAAGGCAAAGAAGCTTCGAATAGAAGCTCGAAACTAACATTTTCGTCTCCCATACTTGCATTTCCAGAGTCAGCTCCTTCATTTGTTGTCCAAAACGATCCACCATTCGTTAAAGACCAGATATATACACCTCAATTCTGCGGTAATCAAATATGGTGCAATTGCTTCTCTAATATCAGTTGTTGACATTTCAAAAATATACGCCACTACTCTACTATAACGTTGAGAAAATGTCAGTGTCAAGGCAGCGTTCCTACTTTGCGGCAGCGCTTCGAGCAACGACAGTAGTATAGGTATCGATCTAGCGTTCTGAGCATACGCCAGAGTTTTCTGCGACCTCCCGCGAAACACTTAAGAAGCATCAATATGTCTAGCCCCACAGACCATGTAAGCATGGTTCTAGTTTGACATAATTAGAGAAGATCTGCAGTACCTTGCACATCTTTACACTGAATCGCCTCTTCGAAGTCTTCATGAGGAGTACTTGAACATATACTGACATTAGATGGCACGTCAAGATGCCGGGGATAAGTAACCTAGAAATGAGTCCGGTAACGTCGCTACACTTATGCAAGCATTTCTACAAATAACGAAAAAGGAACCTTTGCTGATATCACCGACTGCTTCTGCAAATTAGTGCCATCTGGTATGGAAACGCCGTCACCTAGCACTGAC